TGAAACTACACCTAAATCCATAGACTTTTAGTAAGATTATAGCCTTTCACAATGTGACTAGGCCTCATTCAAGAAGCTCAAGGCTTTATGAAAAAGACTAACCACACTTGAGAACATAGGAACCCCAACAACAAGCTGTCTTTGGATTTCAACTTCAACTCTTTCATGGGTCTTCATCTGGCTGACATACACTGTAGATTCTAGGCATACAAGATTCTGCAGTGATATAAACTAATTCCTGAAGGTCTATCATCTATCTTCTCTCTACCCACCCACACATCCATCCATCCATCTATCCATCCATCCATCCATCCATCCATCCATCTGTTCTCTATTCTGTTAATTCTGTTTCTCACTCCTTGGAAAGCACTGACTAAAAGAAACACCCATATCAGATAGTCAAGGAGAGAGGAGATGGTTAGTTTTTCCAAAACCATCTTGGTAATCTTGTTACTAGGAAGGAGGAGAAGAGATATAGGGTTGAAAAAAAAAGCCAAGGATGTTCACTACAGTTGGAAACTATTAATTAATGTATTGCTATTTAATCAAAGCAGTTTGACTCACAACAATGTTTTAAAACATTCTCCATTGAGGAAAGAACAAAACTATTGCTGGCAGTAAAAGCTGATGTGTTTACCTATTACATTTTTATGAAAGCAGATGTGTATGTAAATGATATGCCAAATGTTTAGACGCAGTTATCTTTATAATAGAAATATACTTTAACTTACATGGTATGGATTGGGTAAGACAGTATGACTGTCCAAAACACTCCCCCATTGCTGGAGGGCCTGAAACCACATTATAGAATGTATTTGTTAGAGCTGTGGAGAAAGTTCAGTGGTAAGATTACTCACTGTGCAAGCGTGAATCCCTGAGTTTAGATCCCCAGCACCCACCAAAAACGTCAGGTATGCTGTTCTCCTGTAGCTCCACATCTGGCAAGCTGGGGAGGTATAGAAGGATCTCTCAAGCTTTCTGGGCCTCCAGCCAGGTAGGCAACACAGAACATCAAACTCCAGGTTCAATGAGAAAATCTGTCTCAGGAGACTAAGGCAGAGAGTAATAGAGGACACCCCGTGACATGCATGGGCACACATTTGCATACACATACAAAGTATTTATTTATTCCTTTTTTTCACTTGAAGGCACAATGACTCTTCAAAATGTACTGGTGGAATAGAAATAACCATTAGAAATACTGTCTTAGTTAGCGTTCTGTTGCTGTGATAAAACATCTATCAAAAGCAATTTAGGGAGGGAGATAGGGTTACTTCATCTTACATACTACAGCTCCCAGATCACAGTCCATCACGGGGAAAGACAGCACAAGAACCTGGAGCAGAAGCCAGGAAAGAACACTGCTTACTGGCTTGCTTAGCTTGCTTTCTTATACAACTGAGAGCCATCTGCCTAGGGGTGGCCCTGCCCACAGTGGGCTGGGCCTGCCCATGTCAATCAGCAATCAAGAAAATGCTCCCACAGACAAACCCACAGGATATCTGATGGAAACAGTTCCTCAGTGGCAAGTCTCTCTTGCCAGGTAACTCTATTGGTATCAAACTGACAAAATCTGCCCAGTGCAAATATCCAAAGTACTCTCCCCAAAATATCAATGTTCAAGATTTACTCATTCAATACATAGTCCTCAAAGGTTCTGTAAGAAAGAACTTGGGGGTATAGCAGATATGATCACTCCTTAGATAATAACAATACATGGGAGCATATTAAAGACTATCAGAAGTCACAGGTTAAGAAACTCCAAACATTTTTTTTTACCTTATTATTATTGTCTGTGTATGTATGGTGTGTGTGCCACAGTTCACACATGTGGAGGTCAGAGAAAACCCTTGGAGAGTCAGTTTTTACATTTGGGTGTGGGTTCTGGGGATAGAATTCAGATTGTTTGCTCTTCCAGGCCATCATCTTTAAAATAATTCTACAGTCACTCACCCTGCCAAGTTGAAAAGTATTAAGAAAGAATGAATCAAAAGTGAAAGTTGCTGACTCATAGTTTATGCTCAAGGGATGTTGATTTTACCAAGTGCCCTTTTACCAAGAGTGCCCGTGCTCCTCCCACCCCATCTCTGCTCCCCCTTCTACTTCTCCTCCTTCCTCTCCCCTCCCCTTCCTCTTCTTCTTCCTTTTCTCTTTGCAGGGAATGTTTAATTTCAAATGTTCTTTCCTTCCTTCCAATTTTAGGATAGTTGTAGGAAGGCCCAGCCTGAGTGAGGCTTCTTCATGGCACCGGATAATCTACAGGAAGAAGATGCAAGATGGGGGTGGGAGGAGGGGAGAGAGGGGTGAGGGGTAGTGGGGTGGGTGTGAATGTGGTCACAACTGCCAACAGAGTGAAGAAACACAGGCAGGAAGGAGGGTGACTCCCCACATTCAGAGCACTGAAAGGAATTCAGAAGAAAATGCTGCAGGATGTTCTCTCTCCTCTCTCCTCAGTGTGTGTGTGTGTGTGTGCGTGCGTGCGTGCGTGCGTGCGTGCGTGCGTGCGTGCGTGCGTGCGTGCGTGCGTGTGTGTGTGTGTGTGTGTGTGTGTGTGTGTGTTCTTAATTAGATGAATCCTCCAGGGAAGAAAAAAGGTGGAAATATGAGGTGAGCACTCAGTGGATTTTGCAGACATTCTGACCAGTAGAGGTGGAGTTCAGGAACCATTTCCTGACCAGGACTTCTTAGTGCTGCCCTTGAACAAACTTACCTTATAGAACAGCAGTTCTCAACCTGTGGGTTGCGACTCCATGGGGTCACAGAGCAGATATCCTACATATCAGATATTTACACACAATCTGTAGCAGTAGCAAAATTACAGTTATGAAGCAGCAATGAAATAATTTTATGATTGGGGGGTCACCACAACATGAAGAATTTATTAAAGGGTCGAGCAGCGTTAGGAAGGTTGAGAATCACTGTTCTAGAACATTCACACGACACTAAAGTGCTATCTATTTTCCAAAATAATAGTGACTTTGAGCTGTGTTAATCAACTAGAGCAGTAAAGAATGACAAGAATTGAATTTTTTCAAAGAAAATTGGTCAGGAAATAATCAGGGACAAAAGGAGGAAGTAATAGCAGTATTTAATACAGCTGGGTGAGGTTTTTTTCCCCTTCTATTGAAAATAGACCTTTTCTCTCATATAATATATCCTGATTACAGTCCCCCATCGTGTCCCATGTTCCCCCACCCCCACCCCACTCAGGCCCTCTCCCCTTCCCCTTCCATCCAGATCCACTCCCTTTCTGTCTGTCATTAGAAAACAAACAGGCTTCTAAGGGATACTAAGAAAAGAAAATATAAGATAAAACAAAAACTAACACACTGAAATTGGACAAAACAATCAACCAGAAGGAAAAGGGCACAGGGAACAGATCCCTTCATTGGTACACTCAGGAATCCCACACAAACACTAAACTAGAATCTGCAATACGTGTGCAGAGGACCTGGTGCAGACTTGTGCAGACCCGTGCAGGCCCGGTGCATGCCGCCTCAGTCTGAGCTCATTTGAGCTTTGACCATGTTGACTTAGAGGATCTTATTTTTTTGGTGTCCTCCATCCCCTCTGGCTCTTATACTCTTCCTGCCTTCCCCGCTTCCACTGGCTTCCCTGGAACCCTGAGGGGAGGGGTTTGATGGAGACATCCCATTTAGAGCTGAGCATTCCTGGGGCTTTCACCTTTTGTATAATGCCTGGCTATGGGTCTCTGTATTTGTTCCCATCTGCTGCAGGAGGAAGCTTCTCTGATGATGGCTGAGCAAGGCCCTGATCTATGAGTATAGTAAAATATCATTAGGAGTCATTTTGTTACAATCTTTCTTTTCTTTTCTTTTCTTTTCTTTTCTTTTCTTTTCTTTTCTTTTCTCTTCTCTTCTCTTGTTTTCTTTTCTCTTCTCTTCTTTTTTTTTCTTTTCTTTTCTTTTTTTTAGAACAGTGGTGTTTGGTTTTACTCTAGGTCCCTGGGCTATCTAGTCTCTGGCTCTTGGGCACCCAAGCAGTGTCATGTATGTGTTTCATCTCGTGGAGTGGGCAGGCCTCAAGTCAGATCAGATATTGTTTGGTTACTCTCACAAACTTTGTGCCACTATTGCCCTAGCATATCTTGACATAATAGAACACCATTGTATTTGTATATATATATATTTGTATATGTGTATATTTTAGGATGCCTCTGTATCTGGTTTCCATATTATTTCTCAAATGGCTGTTCATTTTAGCCATCTATTTCCTCCATCCTTCTCTCCCCTCCTGACTTGATCCTCTCATCCCATCCCAGCCCCCCCCCTCCCCCCGTCATAACTATCTATTCTATTTTTCTTTCCTAATAGGATCTGTCTGTCCCCCGCGTCCCTTACTCTAACCCTGACCTCTGCCGGTCTACGGATTCTGGCTTGGTTATCATTGATCTAACAACAGCTGTGTGATTTGTCATTTAGCTTTGATCTCCACTTGAGAAATGCAGTCAGGATGGGCTTTCCCCTCAGTATGCCACAGCCCAGGATCTCTACCTCCTTCCTATAGGTGATTGTCACTCCATACACTATTCATGGGCTCCTTGGAGGGACCTGCCCTCGTCAGAATCCCAGAATCCTCGATGGTAATTACCACTCTGTACACTATGCAGGAGCCTCAACAATCCAGTCACTGACACGGGGCGGGATGGTGTTTGTCTTCAGCACTTAGCCAAGGTCCAACTCATTCAGGAGTTTACAATTCTTTCCTGGGTGCAACAGCAAAAGGAGAAGGCTCTCACGTGATTGTGGGGAAGCACCCAGGACGGGGAATGCCCATTTGTGCAATCAAGCCCTACTCCGGCTTCCCTCTCCCCAGCCCCCACCAGTGAGCTGATGAATCAGTGGATTTCCCCTGAGCCCTGCAGAACTTCCTCCCAAACGGTGGGGCTTTACATAGGTTGTGTCTACTCCCTCAGAAAAAGTGACATACAAGTGTTCTAAGCGATTTCTGGGGAGACCGGGGAGGGAAGCGGTTTGAGGCGGGCCCAGGCAAAGTACACACACACAGAGGCCCTCTAGAGCGGGCGTGGGGTGGGGTGGGGCCGGCCTGCCCATGTAAGTGACTAACCCTGCTAAGAGGTGGAGACTTGGGCTGGCTTTCCCTTGGGGCACAGAAATGCTGTGGATCTGGACTCTCCTGCCTCTGGTAAGCTTTGGGAAGCCTGGGATGTGGGACGCTGCACTCTGGGGACCACCGCGTGGGAATCCGGACTCGGCTGACTTTGAATGACTGCCACCCTCTTCGGTCCAGATATTCAGAAGGGCGGGGAAGTTGCTTTCTTTCCTGGCTCAGGGCTCAGGGTTGATTGATCCCCGGGCACAGAACCTGCAGCTCGAGCGCTTTGCTGGAGAGAGTGTGGGTGGGGAATGGCAGGAGTCTCGAATGGTTTCGGAGTGGCAAGAGAGGGACTCGAGCCGAAAGACATGCCCAGGCAAAGGTCCACTCTGTGGCAGGAGAGGGGTCCCCTCCGAGACTGTGCGGCACGAGTGGAGTTGACACTTGTGACAGGTCGTTCAAGTGGGGCAGTGAGTCAACTCTGGACGGCGATTACGACCCAGGAGTCGGGAGTTGCCCTTTCTCAAAATAACTTTTAAAAAGTTACTTTGGATTAATAAGCCTCTGAAGAGTTGTTTACGTTCTTGTGACAACACGGAAAAATATAAAACCAGTTTTCTTCCCTTCCGGGAATTCAGCTGTTGAACTGTAGGTGGCTGGGCTGATGGGTGTTTTTAATGTTGCTGTTTTGTCCGGTTTCTTCCCACACTCTCAAGGCAAGTTTGTCTCTGTAACCCTTGAGCTCTGGGTCTCAGCCGGTGTCTGCTGCAGGCACAGGAGTAAGCAAGCACTCGCCTGTACAGGAGAGTCCCCTGCTCAGAAACGCTAGCTTGATAATGGCCAATCGAAGGGATTCTACCTTGGGAGGTTCATCCAGTTCTGAGTTTAGACAAAGTATTTTATTGGAGCCCTAAAACCGGTTTTCACAGCAGAGAACGGAGGAAGACAGCCTCTGCTCGCTTGTTTTTCGAGACAGGGTTTCTTCGTGTAGTTTTGGTGCCTGTTCTGGATCTCGCTCTGTAGACCAGGCTGGCCTCGAACTCCCGAGTGGTGGGATTCAAGCCGTGTGCCACCGCCACCAGGCTCTCTGCTCCCTTTTACAAGTGGAAATGAAGTTCAGAGAACTTAAGGACTGCAGAGATAACACAGGTAGTTCATGACAGCCCTGGGCTTGGACACCGCCCTGGGCTTGGACTTAGCCCTAACTCTAAGGCACAAGCAGTTTGTGTATAAACTGATGATATGACAGCTCCATGGCATGGTTAAGGGGAAGGTTTTTGCTGTAGATATGAAAAAGAGAACAGGCAGAGGCATCTGGAACAGTCCAGAGTGTATAGAGAAAGAAGTAGACTGAACATGGCCAGCAGACATGGACAGGGCTGCCGTAGAGAGGGAAGAGCAGCAGGGTTCAGAGAATAGAGAAAACCCAGTGAGAGAGGCAGGAGCAGAGCACAGAGGGGACATAGTGAGAATAGCAGGGTGATAAGGAGAATGAGTAGCTGCTGGGAAGGAAGCCCATGAGCTGGAGGGAGTTTAGGGTAGGGGACCAGGTGAAAAGGGCTAGGAAGCTAGCATACATTTTGAAATGTGTAACAGGTACTTGTGATACCAGCATGTGCTTTGCGATGCTGATAGGTGCCATGGGTAGTCATATGTCCCTTTTGCCAGAGGTAAAAGAAATGACTTTCCAGTGCGTCTTGGGAGGCACATTTAGTCAAGCCATTAGTACAAGCAAGCCAGATAATTTGAGGACATGATGCAGACACCCTGCCCTTGGTAGGGTGTGCATAAAAATTAAATTCCGTGAAGGCCCTTTTCTAGCCACTTTTCAACAGCCTGATTTACTGACTCCTGTCTCTCCCCCAGACCCATGTTGTTCTACGCCTAGAAGGGACACAGGAGAACAGAGGTCCACCTGAAAGTTTCCCATGCCCAGTTTTTCTGAATTCCCAAGTCCAGCGTTGGTGCTGATGGAGACTGTGTATCCTGAGTTAGTAAACTCCAGTCAGTCTACCTTTAATGGCCCAAGGTCCAAGTGATATACCATCTGTCCCCATCCTCGGTGGCCTCTTTCAGAGATCACACCAGCTACTTTGACAGCAAGTAGGATGGTGATGATGATTGGGTAGCGTCCCTTCCAGACAGATTCCAGGGTCTGGACAGGGATCTTCTGTATCCAAACCAAGTCTCCTGCTGGGAACTGGTGGGTAGGTTCAGAGCCCAGAGAGATGGCAGGATTCCCTTCACAGGTCAATGCTGGCCAACGGCTCGACAAGCTTCCTGTGCTCCAAGTGTGCTATAGATTTTTTTTAACGATCCACCTTTTTCATTACAAATTTTAAGCTAACTTTTTGTTACAGATTTTACAAGTTTTTTTTTTTTTAATTTTTGTTTTTGTTTTAACCGCACCCAACGAATTTACAAGTCCTGAGATATAGGAAGTATACACAGTAGATCTTACAGACCTTGAGCTAAAGTTGATACTTTAGCAAACCTTTTAGAGTTAGAAGAGAGGGGAGTGTTTAGAGAGTTAAGGAAAACCAAGAGGAGGAGTATGAGGTAAGGAGCAACGATCCCTACCGGGAATAGTTTACTTTTTAGCTGTCTTAAAGCACGGGGCGTCTTTTCCTGAGTTGTTCTCTTTTGTTGTCCTCCCAGGCACAAGGACAAGTGTCCCCATCTGACTCAAGACAGAGATTTTGTAGGAAACTTATAAACAATCATTCTTGGGCCTGGAGAGGGAGGCCATACCCCAACTCCAGAGCTGGATTTTTTTTTTTTAAATAAAGCAGAATAGCATGTGACAATATTTAAATATTATCCATACACAGGAGACATTTCAACCTCAGTAAAACTGGATTTAGTGATCAGAGGGAGAGATAAGAGCAGGGAGCAGAGGAGGCTTAGAGATAAGAAATTTATGAGAATGGAGAGCAGAGAAACTTTACCGATAAGAGATTTGGGGATCATTTATTTGTGTGGGAACAGAAGTTGTCACACTGTGTGAGAATGTGGAAATCTAGTGGGCCATCTTTCGCCATTGAGCTGTACTGAAGCCAAGCCATTTGCAGTGAGACAGTGAAGCTTAATGAGAACTCTGGGTCAGAGGAAGAAAAGAGATTAGAGAAGAAGGTGGCAGGGGTGGGGGTGGGGGTGATATTCTGAATGGGAAGAATCCATGGCTAGAGACAAGAACAGGCTCCAAGAGCAAACTGAACTGAGAGAGGGAGAGGGAAAAGGAGAGAGAGAGAGAGAGAGAGAGAGAGAGAGAGAGAGAGAGAGAGAGCAGGAATGGAGACATTGTTTAGAAGCACAGTGAACAGAAGGTGGGATGGGAGAGTGTAGCAGGAATCTTAAAAGTTCTTACTAATAAAATCAAACCTGGGACAGCAGGAGGAAGGGTGAGATTTTAGCTCTGAGCTCTGACTTCTCGGCTCTCTCTTTTACATTGTTTCTGTGTTTCTTATTTAATAAGACGGTTGGTTACATCTACAGGAGAGGCTTAGGGAAACTCCACCAGAGGGAAGATTTCAATATCTTAGAGGCCCAGGAGAGCATAGAAAAATGCCTAATGTACCTGCAGGTCTCAAGTAGCAGGCTCCAGTGAGCCAATGAGAAGGACAGAGACAGAGTAGGAAGCTCCAGAGGGAGATGAGGAGAGACAAATAGTTAGCCACGGTTAGAGACAGAGTTAGCTCTAGGAGGGAGCTGAGAGACACCGCTAGCAAGGAGGCAGCCAGGATTAGAGTGAGGAGATGGACAAGAGAGACAGAGTAAGCTCTAGGAGGGAGCTGAGACCATGTCGTGAGGGAGAGCAAGGATGGGAGAGAACACTAAGTGTCTTGGTGACAAGAATTTCAAGCCAGGGCATCCCCAAGTGGACCGAGAGACTTGTCAGGGAGAAATGTCCAAAGTCACAAAGGAGAGGCATCCTATGTGATGTGTTCCCAACAGGGAGAGAGAAGCTGCCTGACACACCAGAATGGCTTTTGTAGCATAGTAAGCTCTAGGAGCCGACAGAGACAGACCAGGGAGCTTCAAGGAGAGAGCAGGTGGGAGGAAGAAGCAGCTGAAGAGGGCTGGTAGTCATCAGGAGCCGGAAGAAACAGTGCTCCATACCTTTGGAGAGTCAGGACAGTAGTTTGGTTTGGTTCAGAGAGGCTAGGCACCTTGGAAAGGGGATCTGTGTACCACTCCTGGATGCTGGGCAACAGATGTATAAAGTGATGACATGACCGATCCATAGTTATGGTTAAGGGGAAGGTTTTTTTCTTTTTTTAATTGTAGATATGAGAGAAAGAACAGCCAGAGGCATCTGGAACAGTCAAGAGCAGAGAGAAAGAAGTAGACTGGACATGGTCAGCAGTCTGGACATGGCCAGAGCTATTTGAAAGAAAGGGATAGAATATCGGAGATAGAGAATAGAGAAAATATAGTGAGAGAAGCAGGAGCCGAGATGGGGGAGGGGCACATAGCTAGAATAGCAGGGCTATAAGGAGAAGAGTAGCCGTGGGGAGGGAAGCCCATGAGCTGGGGAGGTTAGGGTAGGGGAGGAGATGAGAGGGGCTAGGATGCTAGCATGGTGCTTGTGATACCAGCATGTGCTGTGACAGACTTACAGGCCTTCTGTCAACAGGAAGGGAAATTGATTCCTTTTGGCTGCCTTTTTATCTAACTGCCAGAAATCCTTCTATAGTCCAGGTTGAGCTCATTTCCAGATATTTGTACTGCCTTTTGGAGTTTGAAGAATTGGAGTTTCTTTTGGACTACACAGTTTGCTGGTTGCATCTGATATCCAGAGTATACCAAGAGCAGAATGGCAAAGGCTCATATACTTGGCACTTGTGAAGGAGTGAAAAAAAAATCCCTTTGGTTCTTTAAGAAGTCATGTATAGTATTTGGCCTTTGGAAATGTCTTTAGGGAGTTTTAAGATTCTCCTCAACGTAAATATCCTTGTCATTAGTCTATCAGTTTGGGTGGCTGATGAAAACACTCTCAGCTATTTGCAGTATGCCAAAGGCCTGGAGCTAACGCTCAACTTAGGTACAGCTGTGTCTTTATCATAGGATGTGTGTGCCTCAAGGACCCA